TTAAGTCCCGGAAATCATCTGCTCAAATTCATCCAAATCCACCATACGTCGCCTGAGTCACCAGTCAACCAGTTTTTACAATATAGAAAAGGCGTCCCTTAAGGAAGAACGTGTCTAGTGGTTTGTCAGACTAACAAAGAGCTGAAAATGAGCATAATAGGTTCCCTTGTAGACCCCATGTCAGCACATCAGTGGGTGAACTTCCAAAAACAAGAATTTATAGTTTTCGATAAACACACCTGTCATCACGTTTAAATTAAGAGTTGTGAAACATACTTATTGTCTTATTTCGGTATATTCTTACAAACCGAAAGGTCATAATTTATTATTGTATTTAATTATTATTTCTAATTGAATTTATTTCAGATGTGAGGGAAATCTGTCTTTGTTTGTCCACCAAGACTTTTGTTTCTCCCTCGCCATGGGCCGCCTTCTTCTTCTGTTGGACTAGTACAATTTTTCTGTCCATTTTATCCCCAACAGCTTGATAGATTTTGCTCTCTCTGAGCTTCTCCTTCTCTCTGTTGAGGTCTTTCTCACACTTTTGGAGTTCGCGCCTCTGGTACTCTGTATCGTTTTCTTTACAGGCCATCTCCTTCTCAAGTTGCTGGTTCTTCTCCTTGAGGACGTGGATGTGGTTCATCTGCTGTTTGGACTGATGGTCCTTGCTGTTCAGGATTAATTGCTGGTTGGTGATTCTGTCACGCAGCTGAGAGCATTCATTTTCGAAGCGTTGCCACTTGTCATTCAGGCCGTCTCTTTCTTTTTTTACCTGGTCCAGCTGTTCCTTCAGGTTTTGCTGCTCGGCCCTCTGGCTGACAGCACTTTGCTTCACCAACTTCAGCTCAATCTTTGTTGCCTCCAGTTCATCCTTGAGGGCCTTATTCTCTTTGTTCACCCTCTTCAGGATTTTTTCCTGGGTCCCAAACCTCTTACCCAACACTGATGCTTCACTTTTGCAGTGCATCAGCTTGGTCATCTGGTGGTCTTTGTCTTTGTTGATCGTGACCAGTTTTTGCCACTCTGCCTTGAACTTTTCAGCATCACTTTTGAAAGACTCAACTTTCCTCTTGAGGATCTCATTTTCCTTCATGAGGCCTTTGTTGGTCTTTTGCATGGATAGATATTCACGCTCTGCATCGGGAAGGATCGTTGCCAAGACATAATGGTGATAAGCTGACACCTTGCTGGACTTATGCGATTTCTTCTTATCAGAGTCAGATTTAATTCTCTGAAAGAACTCCATGTTTCCTGTTCGGTCTCTTAACACTGTGTTTAACACCGGGTCTTGGTGAGATTTGAAAGGTAAAGATTAATTATCTGACGTTTTCTTCAAGGTGGTCTAAGAATAATCACTCTATGACGTCACAACATTCCAACAGGA